AAATCACTTCGTCGGGAATGAAGAGCGACTTGGAGACGCCTTCGTCGCTAGGGTTGGGCTTGTACGACGGTGTGGAAAAATTGGGGCATCCAAGTCTGAAAAGCCAAAAGTTGTTCTTTTGATAATTCAGATTATAAATAATAATTGCACTGCAGCCAATTCCATGGCTCTGCAAAAGTCACTCAGCACAGAACACAGTTGCTCAGCAACAACCGGTTACCAGCCAAAATGCCATGCAATGTTTACTGCTTGTGACTGGTAACCAGCAGATTTTAAAATTCGGACAAAATCTGGCCGACTGTGCAACTTTAAATACATACTTTGAGAATTAACCTGTTGTCCCATGAACTATTTTTTACATTTTATTTTTCAAACAATTATGGCGGGTTTTTAAGAAAACACTGTACGTGTATTGCCTTGTGAAAGCCAAAAAATTGCATGTACATATGAAGTACCATAGCGCATTATCATTTAGTGTGAGGGTTGGGAGAATTTAATGGTCTGATGATTTTTCAAAGCAGGGGATTTTCCAAACAATGCAAATTTTTATGCTGTACTGTGTCGTTCAATAAACCGGCAACCCAACATATCTCGTTCAATACGGCAAAAATTCATGACATGGTGAATGGGAGAATCCCACTAAGTATTGCGAGATATTCTTTTCAAATGTGGCCTGACATGCCTAAGGGCAACATAAATTGGCTGTTACTTTACCTGGGGAACGCAGTCAAGCTGAGGGCTGTCTCCCCTTTAGCTGTGTCCAGTAGCTTTTCCACTTCTTGCCTCCTGGAAAAGGAATGGCAAATTTTAACATCAACAAGGAAAAATATTTCTCATGTACACTTAGATCCTATGTATGTATATTGTGTAAAGGCATGTTGTTTCAAAATTGTTTTTTTAAAACAAAGAGTATTAATTTCAAACACATCTGGGCGCTATGAACTAATACAGGTAATACTGCGATGTTAATTTGAAAAGCTCAAAAAACTGTTTGTCTGCTGACTGAATTTTAATATTCACAGTGCTTGCATAAAATACGATCTGACTGTTGGTGACTAGTCTGTGTAAAAGCATAGTAGGGGAAAAGGATTAATTTTTTTGACTGTCTTTGACTGTTTCAGATAGCAGGAGGGTTAAAAGTGGATACTTTTACAAGTATAATATTGCTGGGAAAATAGCAATTTCAAAAACAAACGTGATCTTTTTTTCGGGCTCAAAACTCGAAATACATGTAGCACAGGAACTGTACAAAAACAGGCGCACTGAATTACTAAAGGAGGTATTGCAGACCTACATGTACTGGTATGAAAGCCCAAACTGGACTCACACCAATTATTCATGTATATCCTGTAACGAATATTATCTAGAAAAATTCTGAATGTAAGGCCAAAAAAAAAAATACTCGGTCTCTGGTCAGCGCGCGCATCGATTTTAATCATGCGCGTCAACCTTTTTTTTTCTTCAAATTAACACGGAAGCTACAACAGCGCCTTCTATTGCCGCACCTCCTCAAATTTTTGTACCAAGGAGCACCAAGGAATGGGGAAATTGCACCAAGGCAAATGATAAAGGGCACCAAGGCAAATGATGGAGGACAACCATGTATAATGAGGACACAAAAAAGCAAAATAGTACCCACCTTGTCTGTACAATTCAAGCTTGAAAAAAGAAAAAAAAAAAGCCACCCAAAAAATTAAAAACCCGCGTCGCCGCATCAATTCCGGACTTCGGTCTGACCAGAGACCGATTTTTTTTTTTTTTTGGCCTAAGCCTCTGATATGACAATCATTGTTAGTTATAGAAAATATTATGAATTTAAGCACACGTGCCCGCAAGAAAAAAAAATATCTGCCGAGTCATGTGTCATAGTGCATAATTGCAACATGTACAAAAGTTTGTTGACCTTTTTTCCCATTGGAGTGCTGTGTAGCACGATGTAGAAAATCAACGGCAAAATTTTGCAAAGTGGTGTCGGAAGGGTCCTTAAATTATAAATAAAACATTTCACAATAGGAGGGGATATGTTCAAACGCTTTCATTTTTTGGAAAGAATATACCAGAAACATAAAGTAAACGTATCCCTCCAGTCCCAACCTTGTCCCCAGGGTGTCGAGCAGGACGCGCCCACCACTACCTGCTCTCTCACCCTGGTATTGGATCATTTGCACGTGCAAAATTTTTGAACACGCATGCAAATGAGGAATAGTCTGGTGCCTGCATGTGCGTTACATTAGCGTTGTTTTTGTAAGGGGTGTCTGGGGTAAAAACAGAATCAATTTGTGCGCCGTGAGTTACGAAAACACGATTGTTTTCGAAGTTAAAATGTTACAGTCTTATCCCGCCAAAGTGCAGTATCACATTTTACATTAATTAATATAAGCAATTTGGAATGGAAAGGAGTATATTTCAGAAGGCGTGGACGCTATAATTACAATGATCGTGAAAACATGTAACGCATGTTGGAAAAAACAACACCAAGTACATGATATAGGCTAAATCCATTACTAGCCAACTGCGGTATCGAATCAGGACACAGGAAGAAAGTTTCCTATCCAGGCTTACTATTGGAAACGAGGTTGGAAATAAAGTAAGCACTGGGGACGAGGTTGCTCCAGCCCTTAATATACATATATATTCATACTAAACTGACCTGAATTTCATATTGGCTTCTACGGTGTTGAGATGTGCCATTAATCCCCCGTACGGCTTGCCCGGTGTGCCTTCCACCATGTAGGCTGCGTACTCAGGCCGCCAGAGTGTTTTCAAATCGCCCCTGAAAATTACAATCAAACAAATTTAATAATGATGGGTTTATAATTTCAAGCTGGACTGCTCCGTACATGTACATGAGGTTTTAAAGGGAATATACAACATTTGCAAACATCGAAAAATAAAACTACCAAGTTTTTACGAAACACCTTACTAGGATGTTGGTAAATGACAGTCTAAAGCATCCTGTAAAATTACGGCACCTGGTGTCGAGTCATTTTCAAGAAAATGGTATTTTGTATACATTTCCAACGGTGGTCGGCCGACCACCGTTGGAAAAACCTAACTATTTTCAAACTACTGCTCCAAATTTACAATTTTTTTTCAGTCCAAATTTTGTTTGCTATTGGTTACATGTTCATGAACGGGTGCAGGCCAGCTAGATGGTTCCCTTTACCTTACAATTTTCCGGCATCTATAAATTGATCCATTTTATCTTTAGTGGAGTCAAGGAACCAGACTACTTGAACATTTTTTGTTTTTCTTGTTTTTCAGCATTTTCGAACACAAAACTTCAAACATGTCAGTGTAACAATATTTGATCTATTATACTAACCCCTCATATAGTTCATTTCTGAAAATTACAGCAAAAGCCAATGATGTACATTCCCTTTAAGGTCGAAACCCTGTTTATACTGACTTTGGATTGTTCTCTTCCTGCTCTTGCAGCGTTGGGAGAATCTCTTCCGCTTTGAGTAACAGCTTTAGCCGACTTGTTCTCATGATCCAGCTTGACCAGCATGTACTCAACCTGAAAGAGTGCGCAGGACGCAAAACAAAACAACACGATGATCTCCCTGCGTGAACAGTGAGGGCGCTATGTTCCCATTTTCAGGTGCCCCAGTCGGACGGTCACCCTTTAGTTAGCAAATGTATTGAAATTGTGGTACAATTATAGTTAACCCCCACCCCAAAACAAAACCGCAGGGATTTACAAATGGTCTTAATTTGGCTACCTACCTCGTCCCCCCACTTCAGCACGTCACACGGCCGGTCTTTCAGCTTGTTGTAAAGACTGACAAACTGGATGAGTCCATGGCGTCGGATGTGTCGTCGTAACCGTTGGCCTTGATTTCTTCCCACGACAGAGGCTTGCCGAGACTATTAAGGAGACCCATAGCTGATGGTGACGGTGCGCGGTGTTAGGATCTTGGCTGCTGTTAATAAGGTGTAGAAACTATTGATGGGAAAGTTTATGGCGTGCGATTTCTTGGTAATGGTGAATTTGTTTTGTAGTTCAGGACCCTGTTCCTAATTATGGCTGTGTATATTTGACCATAAACAGGTGCCTGACTTTTTTCACTCTATATCCAGCACTCCCACTGAACATGCGCTGTGAATTTTGGGTTTTTAAAAATTAAGTTAAGTGTTTAAACTCTTCCAGGAGTGTCTACATGTCACTTGGTGTTCGGTCTGTCTGTCTGTCCCCGAAAATTGACCAAAAGTATGGTGTTCAAAATTCACCGAAAGCGTGTTCCATATGTACCATCGGTGTGACATTTTTCGGCGATCGAGGCCGGAAATATGAGCGTGCTGCCGAGGCCGAGGAGGGTGATGGCTTAACCCGCCTGGCTCCAGGTCAAGGGAAAAAATAATCCTGCACCTCTTTCCGTTCTTGTCAAAATAATCCTGGGGCAAACTGGTTAAGGATCCCATTTTAAACAAAAATCCTTTTTTTATCATCATGTTTACATTAATTGCATGTATTAAAATCAGCAAGACATCAAGATAGCTCAAGGAACGAGAGCCCCATATTGGCTCAAATTCTGGACCTAATTCCTCCGCCACATACCGGTACAGATGCATGCAAAATGTCCTGAAAAGTTGAAAGCTGAACTGTTAATTTTTCACTTGAAATTCTCTATGGAAGCTACTGTACCTGGTTAACTGTATTCGAAGTTGCGTTGATGAGCTGAAGCAATTAGCAAGTGTGCTTGATGCTGGCCTTGAATTAAAGTTGGAGCTAGGCCTATATAAAAATACTTGGAAGAATAGTGCACTTCCGATCCGAACGCCAACGTCAGACGCTTGACAATCTTAATAACTCTCACTGATCGACTCTCACAAGTCATGCATAGATCTAGAGCAAGGCTCTATGGGTCTGCACGTCTATATATACACAACCAAAAAACTGCTGTATCATGGCTGTATCGCCTGTGTTTACCTTGGAATTGTAATCTTTCACAATGAATGATTGATGGACGTGCAGGCATGCGCCGTATACACATGTACATCATATGTACATGTACATCATATACATGGCATGGAAATCGGAGGCGCCCACACTTGACCAATAGAGGGCGCCCTGCATCATCAGTGGTGTCTTGGGTATCAGGTCAACTCGGACCCAAACCAAGTCGGACCCATGCCAAGTCGGACCCATGCCAACTCGGACCCACGCCAACTCGGACCCACTACCAACTCGGACCCACTACCAACTCGGACCCACTACCATCTCGGACCCACGACCAACTCGGACCCACGACCAACTCTGTACCACTACCAACTCGGACCCAAGCACGACCAACTCGGACCCAACAATGACTCAATCATTAGTTTTAGAGATTATATTTTTTAGGTGATCTTAATGTTAGTGCTTATAAAGTGAAGATATTCTGTAACTACATTGGGCAGAATGGGGCTTTTAGTTTTGTTGTTTTCTTGTATTGCCGCTGTGTGGAGCGGTATTTTATGATGCGTACAGTAAATACTGTTGCTAAACGCTTATTGTTTTGAACGTCCGTGAAACTAAAACGTGCTTAGCTTTTTGAAACCGTGACCTGTGAAGCTAAACCAAGAGGTATTAATAGCGTATAGTATAGGTTAGGCATATCGTATGTCATTTGTACAACTTGATATATACGTGCTTTTTCAAAATCTCGATTTTCTTTCCAAACGAAAATCAAAGGATTATAATTTTCAGTAAAAAATAAATTACTTGTTTGTTTTTGCAGGCCTTTGTGTCGTGTAACAAGTGGTTTTAAGTGGCACATTTTGTTTCAGTGAGGAAGTTTATTAATTTAAAATAACTATTTGGGCCTTTCATTTCATGTAATTGTTTAGGGTTTTTTAATTCACATGCTGGCTTTGAATTTTGTGGGTTTTTTTATGAATCTGTTTAACTTTTAATAATTTTTTGATTTAACTTCCCCCCCCCCCCCCCCCCGTGGAACATCATAGTGGAACATACAGGCAGCTACCTGTAAGGCCTAGAAGGATAATCTTCCCAGAGCTCCAATACTCCTTTTTGATGATTGACATTGCATCTATTTGTAGGGGATTAAACTTGATCATTTTTTAATTCACATGCTGGCTTTGAATTTTGTGGGGTTTTTTACGAATCCGATTACAAATGTAACTTTTTATACTCTTTTGATTTAACTTTTTTGTTTAATATGGAACCTTTATTTTATTTATTGATTTCTAATGTTTACTTATATTTATTGAGTTAATAATGTTATGTTTGAAAGTGTTTTGTTTTAATGCCATACTTTCCAATTTTATTTTTCTATGAAGATCTGTTCTTAATTTGTATACTCGTTATGTTGAAGTTTGGAGTAAAAAAGAAATAAATTGCTGTTAAATTTAGCAAGATGGTGTAAACGATGTAAATTAATATGTTTGAATGAAAATAAATAATTGGTTAAACTTTTAAAGCATAATATGTTTTAATGGAAACAAATAAAAATAATAAATAATTAATTACACTTTTAAAGCGCATTTCAAAATAGCATTTTAATGCGCTTTACAACGACAAAAATGTTATACAGCTGCAATACAGACATGACAGATATGAGATAGTTTACCTTACAATTACAATGAAAATTTATACTAAACAGCATCACTGTAATAAGAGATGAGAAGTGGACAAACTTTATGAAATGAATGATTGAAAACGATGTCGAATGATTGAAAACGATGGGTCCGAGTTGGTCATGCATGGGTCCGAGTTTGTAGTGGGTCCGAGTTGGTTGTGGGTCCGAGTTGGTAGTGGGTCCGAGTTGGTCGTGGGTCCGAGTTGGTCGTGGGTCCGAGTTGGCATGGGTCCGAGTTGGTAGTGGGTCCGAGTTGGCATGGGTCCGAGTTGGCTTGGGTCCGAGTTGGTTTGGGTCCGAGTTGGATCGAAACCGTGTCTTGCCCCCCCCAAAAAACCATAGACACTAGTGCTAAATGCGCATACTTCAAATTCTTTTAAAAATACTCAGAACTCTCACAGGTATTCAAGCTGCACAGAAAAATGATGATCGACATGTCATCTTTCAATTTCTTTTCATTTTTTGGTGGGTTGACCATTAGCTTTTCGAAATATTCTCACCCAAAGAAGACGACCCCTATTTCCCCCAAAGCTGAATGATCCCTCCGAGCTCACACAACATGGCCAAATAGCGCCACTTAATTCGAGCCCAATGGCATCCAAAATGCTCAGAATTGGAAGCCCCAAGTCAGGGCCAAAGGTTCATTGCCATCTCTTCAATCCCCCAATGTTATGGCTCTCAGAACTCTCTATAATAATATAGAATATTTAGAGGGTATGGCTTGTCCTTGCTCTATGGATAGGTCAACACAGCGGCGATGCATGGCGATGGCCCTCGTCTCATTGATAGTATGATACAACGTCTCCTTGGATTGGTCTGTGTTCCCATCATAGCGCGTAACGAAATTTCCTATTGGACGAATTTCCATTGTAGAGGGAGACGCATATGTACGTACACATGTTATAATCACTGCCTCAAAATTGCAGCATGTACTGGCGCGTGCGACACGCTGCTGCTCTCAGTACATACTGCATGGGGACACGTTTACCAGGGGGACACTTTCACCGTTGGGCAGGGGGACATTTTTACCTGGAGGGGGACAAATTTGTTCCTCCATGGTAAAAGTGTCCCCCCCGGACACATTTACCGGGTCACGAGCCGGTAAATGTGTCCGGAGGGACACATTTACCCGGGGGGACAGAATTACCTGTCACACCGGCCGACACAATCCTCAGAACTCAAAAAAGTTGAGTTTATAGCCTCAAAAGTCGCAATGAACTCAATATTATTGACGTAATACAAACGCCCGTTAGTACCAGCAGGGTTTGTTTGTTGTTTTTCTGGGGTTTTTTTGAGAGAGAGTGTTTGTTTTTTTCTAGAGCATGCAGGCTTTTTTTCGAGAGCAGTTATTTTATCGTTGAGCTATTTTTTTTTTTTTTTAGTCTTTGATATGTCTGATGCAGGAGTCAGAAATGAGCTCTTATGCATAAAGTTTACACCGCATGTAAATTTAGTAGAGCGCCCTCTCTCAGGCTGAGCTTTAATTCGCATTTCACAACCGCATCGAGCAACATCCACAAGAAATTCCATATAGCCGCTTTAAAATGCTGTATTCCATGATAAATCTGGATCTCGGTGCATGAACATGGAATGCATTGATATCCTGCTTTATTTGAAATCTTTCAGAATAAAAAACAATAGTGGGTCGCAAGCCCCCCCCCCCCCACTTAGCTCCGCCTACTGTCTTTCCTTGCGTCTCTTAAGTGATTACAGGGCGCCCTCATCTGGATTACTCAAGGTGAAAAAAAGAGACGAAAAAGATTGGCTTTTCATGATATTTGAGCCTTGTTGTGTCCTTTGACCTTTATAAAAATGGATAAAAAATAAACCTCTTCCAGCTTTCAATTCATTTTTCATATTTTCAGCTCAAAATAATATCCTCGATAAAAAAATCTGCACGCAACATGTACAAGGCGCATCGAGCTGGCGCAGACGATCAACACGAGGTTTTGCGGGCGAGTTTGTTGACATTTGTCAAAAATTCTGACAAGCACAAAATACGTAGTACGTAGGCAACGAATGTGCTGTCAACAATTCTCTCCTGTTTTCGCTATTTTTTCACAGTGATATGTCTGTCCCTGACATTATTTCCATAGGACTTCGAAGCTTAGTGTACTGTTTCTAAGGAACTGTGGTGAGAAGTCAAGAAAAGGGAATATTTTTGGGTAAGTTACCAAATTGTTCTGACAGAATTTTGCGATGCGTAGGTCGGTGTGGTGCATTCTACACGTACATGTACATTGTAGATCGCTGTCTCACTGTCAAACTCGAAGGCCGATATTGGAAGAGTCTTGACTCACGGA